TCAAACACAGTTTTAGACTTTAAAGAGGCATGTTTTGGTTGCTTCATTCATATTCTGCTCCGGTTTGTTTTCTTGACTCTGTTCAGAAAGCTTTAGAAGGTGTCAGTGGTTTATTTTCCCATATGTGACCCTGAGGGAGAAGCCTGTGAGCAGAGGTAGACTTTCAGAAACAGGCTTGAAAAATAGAGCTTGGATATTGGAGCAGTTTTTTACACCAGAGGAGAATAAGACTGAAAAACTGTTATTCGCTGGTGTAATCAGAGGACAGAACCACATGGAACAAAATATCATTTTTTTATTTTCGTTTCTTGTCTCTGGGAGGTGTTCAGAGCACCACAGTCATAAATCTATTTATCAAAAACATAAATATCTCCTTCAATCTTCAAACTCTCTCTGTTCCCCTCCATCACACCCTTTCTCTCTGAGTTTAGGCTCCTGTTAAAGGCTGGAATGTTCCAGTAATATTCATATGCTCGCTGGTGTCTGGCAGTTATAGGGGTCAGCTATCAAGCACCCTGTTCCTGAAAGAAATTATGATTATTTTATTTCACCAAAAAGCTACTTCTCCTGAAATCATCTGTGCTCCTTTAGGCTGGAGGAGCAAAGATTTTTGTCCAAACATGCAGCTTCTGTACTTCTGTGCACCACCCAACATCTTTCTTGAGACTAAGTATTGCTACAATACAGCAGTAGCAGCTGCAGGTCACAGTAACCGGTAGTACATGATAAATAGAATATTACTATATTCCAGTAAGGTTGATGTTATGGATAGGAAACCCTTGCTCCTTTATACATTTTGCCAAAAATACAAACTTTTCTATGAATGGAAATCAGGTAATACATAAAAATGTGGAACGAAACATGATTTTTGAAGCACTGTATTTAAAATGTAAAACAGTATGTCTGTATGTTCAGCCCCTTTTTCCTTTAAAACTGCAGAAAAATAATCCAGTTCTTCAGAGTCCACATGTGTTTGTTGTTTTGTTGGTAAAGTTCCAGCGCTTCTATGAAAGACTTTGAAGCAGGATGGATTTGTAACAATATTACATGCCTTAAGCATTTCATGAGGACATTAATCACCTTTAGAGACACGACAGATAGAGGATGAGATCATCTCTGTGAACCTCAGTCATCCTCAGCAGATGGCCGCTCACACTGAGCCTGGTTCTGCTGGAGGTTTCTTCCTGTTCAAAGGGAGTTTTTCCTCTCCACTGTCACTACAAGCATGCTTAGTGTGAGGGACTGCTGAAGAGTCAATGAGTCGATGCAATCAACTGGTTTTCCTTAGATAGAAAACTTTGAATCAGTCTGACTGGATGATCTGGTGAACTGGAAAGTGCCTTTAGATGACATGATGTGAATTGGCGCTATAGAAATAAATTGAATTGAATTACCTAGAGAATTGAATTACCTACATACAGCTCAGGTTGTAATGATTTATTGAGATGAGATTTCTGTAAAAAAGTTTTTTCTCTTAGAACTTACATTTTATTGTTTTTAAAACAGAGCAAATAAACAAAATACAATGACAATTAACCGTTTTTCACAGTGTGAAATTTTTACCATAGATTAACCTTCCCAGTATGACATTTTACAGTTTCAGCATCATAATTGTGGTCTCAGCTTCACCATACAAACCTAGCACTAGAATTCACCTTGGATGGCAGGTCTATGTAACATAATCTAGAAAAAATTGAGTTGTAAGACTTGTTTACTCCAGTAAAGCTGAAAATTTCTTTTTGAAGTCTTAACAAGTACGTTATCTCTTCCATTTGGTATAATTCCCTTACAGTTTGGACCCATGAGGCTCTAGTTGCTTCCATTTAATTGTGATGCATTTCAGGGCCGCTGTAAGAAGAACATTTAAGAGATATTATTTGGCAGCCCAACTGAAAAAATACTGAGATTTGCAACCGTTACATCCTTAACCTTAAACTTTCTGCCCAACTTTTCTGGTCTGTAAAAAGGTTTAAAAACCATTGTTCCTTTTTCTCATTTGTTCCCCTCCACGATGATGCAAACCTTTGTGTTGGACTAATAAAACACTTTGGGTTAGTGGTATAATGTCCCAACTCTGTTCAGTGGATTCTTAAGGTCCACAAATGACTTTGTGAGACTGACATAAGCTAGGAATACATTTTTCTGCTGATCTGTTAACCCCGTAACGGAAGGCATGCAGGAGGAAATCCATCTAGATTTCTCTGTTTAACATTTGCAACAGGAGAATATTTACATAAGGAGATTTTATAAATCCCAAAGCAGACATGTTCAAATCTATCATCATTTTCTGGAGGCTTGATTCTCTGGGTTTGAATTTCTAATGATGCTTGTCAAAGCTGTTAATGTGATCATCTTCTAAGATTCATGTCATATTTTTAATGTATCACAGCCAAGTTGTTTAAAACCCCTATAGCAGGTCTCTGTAGGAAAGTCATTTTGTAAAAAAAAATAATATGCAGCAACAACTGATCAACCAGTAAAACCAATAAAAACAAACTGAATGCAAACAAGAGCAGAAATCCTGTAGCTTATATATGAGAACAATTATTATTTAGTATTAATCATCCAAAGGAACAAAGGAAAAAGTGGATCCATTAGGCACTTTATGTTAGAAAACCAGTAACTGATCTTCATTCTACTATGATCAAGTAAAATAGAAAAAAAAAAAGGATTTTCTATTTCATTTGTGTCTTCTAATTAAAAAACAACACTTTTTTCAATTCAAAGTTCCTTGTTTGGATCTTGAAGCTGTGAATTGTGAGACATTTGGACATTTTTAATTGGACATTTTCAAGTTGATGTTAAATTCTTGACCGACAACACAATATTTGGTTTCAAAGTATTGGAAGATGAAGATTTATTGATGGTGACGATCAAATCTGTGCAGTAAATCAGAGCCTAGACCTAAAATGGAAATGCTGCATGTAAGTGCTGCTTATTGTTATTGTTAAGTTGAAAAGAAACATAAGATACAATCTATGGAAAAACTCTTGCTTTCTGTTCTAAACCAGTAGATTCCTCCTTTTTCCTGCTCTTAACGGTGGTTAAAAGTTGGAACCATGCCCAATTGGGTTGTTAAGTACAGCTTTTGTGTAAGATTTCAGTTGTTTTGTTTGCATTTTGAATAAATCCCTGATCGACTGCAAGCATCTCAATTTATCTTGCTTTTTTTTCCTCACATTTTCCTCAATAGTGGGATTATTTCTTTATGAAATCAATCACACTTTTTGAAATGCTAATACGCCTAAAATATGTAGATATTTGGTACCCAGAGAGGATCAAGGACCAATGGTTGCACTCAGGCTTAGGATCAGAGTCACTATGAATACAGATAGCGCTTCTGAGTACATGCATGAAAGATTGCATGAAAGAAATAAAGTCACAAAATAAATGGAAGAACTATTTAACTGATACATGGCTGAGTTTGTTCATTATAAAGTGGTGAAGGGTGGAACATAGCTCTATACATCATAAAATCAAATATTTACTGATTGCTGTCATGAATGGGCGGAAGAAAACGTTCTTCGGAAAACTTCTGAATGCCCCCCGCCCATCTATCCAGTGCATAATAGTCTGCCTTTAATGTCCTGCAGCACGCAGCATATATTTAGATTTCAAACTGCGAAAGCATAAGCTGTTTGTATTTCATTAGCAGTGAAAACAGATAAATTAGGGTTAAGAAAGCCTTCTTAGTGGAATGGGAGGTGAGAGGAAAACGCAGAGGAAAAAAAGATGTCTGAAGTGTTGGATTGAACTTCATTGGATTTGAATTCCTAAAACGTAATAATCTGAAGTGATTCCTCAGACTTTTCTCATGTTAAACTTTAAGATTCATCTGGATTAATAGCATTTCTTCAATTCAATTCAATTAAATTCAGTTTATTTCTATAGCACCAATTCACAACACACGTCATCTTAAGGCATTTTACAGTTCACCAGATCGTACAGTCAAATTGATTCAAAGTTTTCTATCTAAAGAAAACCAGTTCATTGCAACAACTGGAAGGCAATCCCTCACACTAAGCATGCTTGTAGCGACAGTGGAGAGGAAAAACTCCCTTTTAACAGGAAGAAACCTCCAGCAGAATTAGACTCAATGTGGGCGGCCATCTCCAAGGCTGACTGGGGTTCAAGGAGACAGAGAGACATAGAAAAAGAAGCAGAGATGCAAAAGTTTACAGTCAACCAGCTCCACAGGCGGCCCCGTCCAGGAAACACACAGCAAGGAAGGCCAGCTAGGAGCCAGCTCCCATGTCAGAGGATGAAGATGATTTCTTGCACGAACAGCATCATGAGCAAAACCCTTTTTCCTGTTTAAGAGGCATTGATACTAAAATAACACCTTAAATATAGCATAGGAATATGAAGCTATATAAGAGAAATAATAAACATAATGATGCTTTATCAATAATATGATTAAAAGGTGAGTGTCTGAGGTAACCTAATGGGTTGCTGGTAAAGTCTCATGATAGATCCACATCATGAGTGAAACTGGCTGTAACTGGTTTCTGTGCCGTTGGAGCGAGTGGTCAGCCGGAGGTGGCTTTCTGGCTCGGTGTCCATCCAGCTGAGGTCATGTCTGTGATTTAGGATCCCGACGTCGCCTTCGCTCTGTTTTCACCCTTTCATTTATCTGTTCCTCATTTGCTCTGTCAGTTACTCTGCCTTTTTGAAAATTAGGAATCTGATTTAGAACCAAACAGGCTCTGGATCTGTTTCTTCTTATGTGGTTGATGGCGTGTCGTCACTACAGATTTCAATCTCTAAGGTTTTTTTTCCCCTCAAAGGATAATAAACCGGGTGGTTAATGGAAATTCCACTGTTAGCTGGTAATTACTGTGTTTTACTGGTTGTAATAAAAACATGAATCTAATTAAACTCCCTTGTTTTTTTTAATAAAAAGTTGCCATGAATACAGAAACGAAAACATAAACGAGTGTTTAAGAAAGACAGAAAACTATCAGATAAGTTTAACCTGCTGTTCCCACATGTCCTCCCAGGTTGTGGAAGTCTGCCTGTTTGCCCGTGTTCAGGATGAAGCACCTGTCAGACACCCACTTCGTCCTGCTCGTCGTCCTCCACCTGTTAGGAGCCGTCGCATCGCAGGTCAACCCAGGTCTGTCCCGCTGCCGTTATGTCACAGTTCAAGATTTGTTAAAGGTTTGGTATTCTAGTCACGCAGGGAGCTCAGATCTGGGATAAGTGGTGCTTTGTGAGGCTCTGTGGTTCTCCATCCCTGGTTTGGCTCCTTTCATCCAAAGAAGTGCACCTTTCTTCCAGCTCTTCCCCCAGCTATACCTGTGGTTTTCTTGGAGTCAATAAAATAAGGACCAATAAATAAAGTGGTAACATCTGATAGACAGAGATGGAATTAAACTAAAACCAAAACGAGTTTTTAGTTATAGCTGACAAAATGGAAGAACAGGAGAAATTTGCCAACAAAAACCTCAAGCTGGCACCACAGAGCTGCTCTCATCAGGCTGAACTTCCTTCAGCGTTGAAATAAGTGACGTATGCAGCTCTGGTCTGCAACGAATGGACTCTTAACACATAGGTAATACAGTGATTTAAATAAAAAAAGGTTAATCTGCATTTTATGTGATTCAGGAATTTTTACGAGGGATGCAAAGAGGATAGAACACTTTCTATTTGCTTTACAGATCAATATCTGAAAAGTGTGGAATGCATTTATATTTAACACAGCTGAATCAGGAATCTGTAGAATTAGCTTTGCCTCAGTTACAGCTGCAACTTTTTGGTGTGTGTGTTTGGGAAATATTACAGGCTCAGCAGATTAGATGTAGATTGTCTTTGAAATTCACTTTGAAATTCCTTTTACCGATTATGTGTTGCATTTTCACACAGACTTTGACTAGGCCATTCTGGCACCTGGCTATGCATGATCTAACATCACATTGGCATCACATTATTCTTCTACAGCCTCTAACAGGTGTTCTTCCACCACTGACCTTCATTTCAAACCCACTTTTTCGCTAATCAACCTTGACCAGCATCACCAAAGCATGCTGCTGCCACCACCGTGTTTATAGTGAGGTTGGCAAGTTCAAAATATAGCTCTGCTTTAGTTTACAATTTAATTTTCAGTTGACCTTAAAACCACAGATACTATTATGTTTTGGTGTGTCACATGGACCAACAAAGGTACTAACACATGGGCCGTTCTAAAAAGAGGCCGACAGGTTTAGGGCCTGGTCCCTGTACTGGAGACATAACATGAAATCAGTTTTTTATGGTATTATATATCTGATTGGTCTTTTTCACTAATTTCATTATTTTTTTACTTTCATCATCTTATTTAAAATGAAAAAAAAAAAAAAATCTTTATCTATAGTTGTATTGAGATTCCATTGACAGTGGAGTCGGATGTAGGAGTTGCCATGCAATCGGAGGTTTGTTGGTTCGATTCCCAGGCTCCAGCTTTCAGCGTCATTGTGTCTTTGGGCAATTTCCTACTATGTAGATTGCCTCTATCAGGGTGTGTGTGTAAGAATGCATGAATGGCTGAATGGCTGAATGTAGTGTGAAGTGTCACGATTTGGCCTTGGTTAGTTGACCAAAAAGCAGAGGCAGGTTGGCAGAGGTGAATTTATGGTAGATTTAATGAGTAATTGAAAAAACAAAGTCCAAACAAACAAGAAACCAGGAATCCAAAATTCAAAACATAAGATAAATAAGTAGAAAACAAACCAGAAAGCATGGAGACATCAGGGAATCAAAAACTCAAGGAGGAAGGCTCAGAGAGACGAGGTTGGTCGGTGTATGACGAGGACCCAGCAAAGAGGAACTGAAGAGAGAGGGCTTTTAAAGGACACTGAGACAAAGAGGGGGCTAATGAGGAAACTGGGAGCAGGTGTGCGCAGAACAAGAGAGGGAAAGAGCTAGGGAAGAAGGAGAACATAAGAGGGCAGCAGAGAGCAACAAATAGAAACCTGAAGACTGGAAATAACAACAAAATAATAATTAAATTACTAGGACTATTAAACATGGAGAAAAGAAAACTAAACACTCAAAAGAAAACATAACAGAACCCAGACAAGGACAGTAACTGGAAAAAAACAAAAAAAAAAAAACAGCAAAATAAAACTAAAACCACTAACACTAGAAAACAAGGAGTAAAGCAAGACTGAGCACTAAAAAAATATATAACAGAACCAAGACTAAGACAGTAACTGAGAAAAGAGTCAAATAACTCTTACTAAGAATACTAATACTAAGAATTAACCCACTAAAACTAGAAAACAAGGAGCAAAACAAAACTGGATACTCAAAAGAAAAAAACATAACAGAAACAAAAACCTGACATAAAGAGCTTTGGTCGAGTCCTCTAACTTGAAAAAGCGTTATAAAAGTACAAACAATTTACCAGGTCTGCATCCCCCACCCATCCACTGGGTCTTTAATATATTTAACAATTAAATATTGCCTTGTTTTCTTTTCTTATCCAGATTTTCTTTTTTATGCCCCCGTGAAAACACACTGACACCACCCTCCCACCCCTTTACCTTTTGCTCTAGAACAGCCATTACACCAACACATTTTGTTTAAAGGCATAAAACTAACAGCATTAAACCTGTTGTGAATAACCAGTGGCTTACTTTGAACTTACTCTTTGTACAAGATGAAAGCATACCTGACAAGGAGTTTGAAACAGAGCCCATCCAATGCTGTAATGCTTTATAACTATCCTCAACCATTTTATACAGCTGATATCTCCAGCATTTTATTTACATTCATTTATTTCTGCTCTCATAATTACTGTGATATTTAACCTCTTAACATCCACCTAATTTTGGGTAATCCTCGCCTATTTTGCATACCCAAATGGAAAAGCAAAATACTTAGGAACTGTAAGCCCAAATTACATGTGCAATACATTATTTGAAAGCTAACACCCTCTAGTTTCCTAATATAAAAATTAAAATTGGATGACTATAAATCAGACTTATTTTTTTATTCTCGGAAATGATAGGTCTTTTTTGAACAGCAGTAATAAAGACATTCTAGAGAAGGCAGGTTTTATTGTATTATATTTGTTCTACATCAAGTCAACCACAAATGCAGGCAATTTCAGACCTCTAGCCATAACAGTTCCAGAGCTGTGGGGTTTGGAACTTTTGGTGTTAGCTTGGAGCTGTGCGCAATGGCTCCACTTGCTGGTAAAAATTTTACCGGTGGAATTTTATGCATTTTGAGTTATTGCCCCAACTTAAGGTCCACCGGGTCGCCAGCGACCCGCTGGGTTTTAAGAGGTTAAAGTCTGTAGTTTAGGGAATCTGTCCTATGCCGAAGGTTGATGTAAACAGTTAGGCCTGACTAATACAGACTGGGTTGAATTATTGCTGATATGTTGTTCACACAAAAGCTATAAAGACTTGCTCAAAGTATTGTTTTTGGTTTCTCCACTTGGTTTTAGGGCCCTATGCAGCTGCTTAGTTTGATTATGCTATGGGCCAACTGGCATGTAAATGTTAAAGGTAGAGTAAAAGTTGAAGCTGACTTGAACAATGTGTCTTTCGCTTTTTCCTCCTCTTTCTATTTAATGTTTGACCATATCTGAGTTATAGCCTTAATAGACCGTTTGAGTCTTGTAAAACCCCTGTCACTTGTGTGTCCTTGTGTGTGTTACTAAGCCTGCCTGCATGGATCTACCCTCATGCACATGCATGCAGTGGATCTAGCTATCCCACTGGAGTCTGTGGCTAATGCATACCAGACATTCTGACAGCAGGAAAGTCAATTGAAATTCACTGTCTTTCTCCACAGTGTTTATGTGTCTTTTTGTCAGTGTTTCTGCAGAAGAGTGTCCGGTGTGTTTCTCCTTACGCTTCACCACTCATAAGTCATGGAAAGGACTGTGTGTGCATTTAATTGTGGTTACAGTTCAACAAGTTTGCCACTCAGAAAATGTTTTGTGTCTGTATCCAACCTAAATAGCTCCTTTATTAATTTTTTATATTTATGAACTGAACTCAAATCTCAACCTGCTCTAACAGATCGAAGTACCTATAATTCCTTTGGATGCTTTAGTTCTGCTGCACCGAGAAGAAGGTCATTTTTCCACAGGCTGGAAATATTCATGCCTGAATTTAACAGAGACGAAATGTTGAGTGATGCCAACTTTCCCCTATTTAAAATTCCCTTGCAATGGAGTTATACCATCCCTGTCTTTCCCATCTTACTTGCGAGTGGGCGAACTTTATTTCACTGTGGAGAGGCAGACTGTAGAACAGGTCGAGCTGCTAAATACTATGCAGAAGGAGCCTTACAGAGAGGGATTTATCTTTGTTTAGAGTAAATATATCCAAAGTTTTTTTTGCAGAGCTTTTGATGCTGGTTGATACTTAATTTCTTGTTAATAAAAAAAAGTTTTCGTTCTTACAAAAAAGAGAGACCGTATTGTTAGGCAATGCTCTTGAATAGAATATATATTTAGTTTTCTAATTTGCCTCTTTCTTTAAAAGCTGTTTTATTCTGTAAAAAACAGAGAAGAGTTGTGTTTTGTTTAGGGCTGAAACAATTAACCGGATTAATGGTAATTACTCAATCATTGAAACAATCGTCAACTAATTTAGGAATCGCTTAATCATTAACTGGAGCTTAGAGACTCTAGAAATGCCATAAATGTGAAGACCAACCCGCATAGAGCAGTAACTATACAAAAAATTTAAAAAAGTCAAAATTCTGAGCCCCTGAGGAGGATTAAATTTAGCCTCACGCAGTTTAAATTCTCTATATGATCTTCTTTAAGGAACCTTTTGCTATCTGATTATTAATGATCAATAATCATTTGTTGCAGCTCTAGTATTCTTGTTTGTTATTATGTTAAGTAAAATATATTTTCAGAGCAGTCAGAGACAGTTTATACCTTAGTTTTTAGTTTCTTAATGCACTTATGCTTCTCCAAAGTCATTAAAGTATAAAAGGAAAATCTGTTTTCATGTTGTTGTTGATGAAATCATGACTGGGCTTTCACTAGTAAACAGCTGTGATAACATTAAGCCATGAATCAGAACAAGAATCAACATATTAGCTATTTTTAGATCGTTGTTCTCTTTGATCAAAACCTGTTTAAGGAAAACTGATTCGGTATACAAA